CACATATGTAATAACTTAATCAATAAAGAAATTTAAAAATAAATAAATAAAATATTAAAAAAGAGAACCACAGTCTTCATTATTTTACTAAAACTGCCCTAGGTAATGCCCATTTCCTTCTTCCATTTCTAAAGCGTATGCTAAATGTAACTGGTAAAGTCTGGAAGGTACGGTTTCCCTTCCCTCCATTAATTCCCAGAAAACCAAGCATAAAATAGGACTGGTTCTGGGAAAGTATGAATGCCCATACGATAAGGATTTGGGTAGGCGCTTGGCATTTGTAGGCCATTAGACTTGAGAAGCAGTGCTCCAAGGGGCAAGCTTCTCCCTACCACTTAGTATCACCCTTAAACCCAAGTGAGAGGGGCCACTGCATTGAGCTCCATGCTTTAGGTGGCTCCTCATACCACAAACACTGAAACACAAAGACTTTTTTTTTCCTATGTGTTCTTGAGAGGTGTTTTTTTGTTTTTTTGTTTGTTTGTTTGTTTGTTTGAAAATATAGTAGCTGGGTGAGTATCTAGGGGGGAAAAAGGGAGAGGGACACATAAAAAACTGGGTTCCCCAGATCAAAGCACAAAGGCACAGAAGGGGGCGAGCGGGCCAGTGGGTCAAGGGCAGGAGTAGTGAGGGAGAAAATGACAAATTTTGTTTAAAAATGGACCTCCCCAAATTATTCTAAGTGACAGATTTTTATTTAGTTCACAGATAGATATGTGGGCCAGGCCAAGGTCTACCTTGTTTTTTGGACTTTTTAACATTTATTTATTTTTAATTTTTAAATTTTTATTGAATTTATTGTGGCGACACTGATTCATAAAATTATGTAGGTTACTGGTGTACAATTCTATAATACATCATCTGTATGTTGTATTATGTGTTCACCACCCCAAGTCAGGTCTCTTCATCACCATTTATCCATCCTTTACCCTCTTCTACCTCCACCCTTCCCCCTTTCCCTCTGTAAATCAATATACTACTGTCTGTGTCTATGAGGGGTTTTTTTGCTTAATCCCTTCACTTTTTTCACCCAGCCTCTAAACAACCCTCTGACAGCTATCAGTCTGTTCTCTGTATCTATGAGTCTGTTTCTATTTTGTTAATTACATTCCACACATAAGTGAAATCATATGGTACTTGTCTTTCTCTGACTGGCTTATTTCACTTAGCATATACTCTCCGGGTCCATCCATGCTGTTGCAAAAGGGAAGATTTCCTTATTTTTATGGCAGAGTAGTATTCCATTGTATAAGTGTTCCACAACTTTTTTATCCACTCATCCACTGATGGGCACTTGGACTGCTTCCAAATCTTGGCTATTGTAAATAATCCACTCCTTCAATGAACATAGGGGTGCAGGTATTCCTTCAAATTAGTGTTTCCAGTTTCTTCAGATAAATTCCCAAAAGGGAAATTGTTGTGTCATAAGGTAGTTCCATTTTGATTTTTTGAGATAACTTCATACTATTTTCCACAGTGGCTGCACCAGTCTGCATTCCCACCAACAGTGCATGAGGGTTCCCTTTTCTTAATGTCCTGGCCTGCACTTGTTGTATGTTGATTTATTGGTGAAAGTCATTCTAACAGATGTGAGGTGGTATCTCATTATGGTTTTAATTTGGATTTCTCTGATGATTAGTGACATTGAACATCTTTTCATATGTCTATTGACAATCTGTATGTCCTCTTTGGAGAAGTGTCTACTCATGTCCTTTGCCCATAGTTTAATTGGATTGTTTGTTTTGGGGGGGGGATGAGTTTTATAAGATTTTTTAATGCAATTCGTATATTAACCCTTTTTCAGATGTAACATTGGCCAATATCTTCTCCCATTCAGTGGGTTGTCTTTTCATTTTGTCAATGGCTTCTTTTGCTGTGCAAAAACTTTTAGTTTGATGTTGTCCCATTTGTTTACATTTTCTTTTATTTCCCTTGCTGGACGAGATATATCAGAAAAAATATTGCTACAAGAAATGTCCAAGATTTTACTGCTTAGGTTTTCTTTTAGGATATTTATGGTTTCAAGTCTAACATTTACTCCTTAACCATTTTTAGTTTATTCTTATCTATGGTGTAAGAAGGTCGTCTAGTTTCATTATTTTTGCACATACCTGTCCAATTTTTCAAACACTATTTATTGAATAGACTATCTTTACCCCATTGTATGTTTTTGCCAACTTCATCAAATATTAATTGACCATAAAGTCATGAGTTTATTTCTGGGCTCTCTATTATGTTCCATTGATCTATGTCTGTTTTTATGCCAATACCATGCTATTTCAATTACTATGGCCTTGTAAGATAGTTTGATATTAGGTAGTGTGATTCCTTCACCTTTGTTCTTCTTTCTCAAGATTACTGTTGCTATTTGGGGTCTTTTGTAGTTCCATATACATTTTTGGATTATTTGTTCTAGATCTGTGGTATCTTAATAGAAATTCCATTGAATCTATAGATTGCTTTGGGTAATACGGACATTTTAATTATGTTAATTCTTCCTATCTGTGAACACGGAACATGCTTCCACTTATTTGTATCTTCTTAAATTTATTTCTTCAGTGTCATGTAATTTTCCAAGTATAGGTCTTTAATATCCTTGGCTAAATTTATTCCTGGGTATTTTATTTTTTTTGAAACAATTATAAATGAGATTATTTTCTTAGTTTCCCTTTCTGATAGTTCATTATTGGTGTATAAAAAAGCAACTGATTTCTGGATATTTATTTTGTATCCTGCTGCTTTCCTGAATTCATTTATCAGTTCTTTTTTTTTAAGATGAGATTCTTTTTTTAATATATTTTATTGATTTTTTACAGAGAGGAAGGGAGAGGAATAGAGAGTTAGAAACATCGATGAGAGAGAAACATCGATCAGCTGCCTCCTGCACATCTCCTACTGGGGATGTGCCCGCAACCAAGGTACTTGCCCTTGACTGGAATCGAACCTGGGACCTTTCAGTCCACAGACCGACGCTCTATCCACTGAGCCAAACCAGCTAGGGCCATTTATCAGTTCTGATAGTGTTTTAGTGGAATCATTAGGGTTCTCTATATAGAGGATCATGTGATCTGCAAATAATGACAGTTTTACTTCTTTTCAATTTGAATGCCTTTTACTTCTTCTGGTCTGATTCCTGTGGCTAGGACTATCAGTACTATGTTGAATAAAAGTGGTGAAAGCAGATATCCCTGTCTTGCTCCCAGTCTGAAGGGAAATATTTTTAATTTTTGCCCATTGAGTATGAGGTTGGCTGTGTGTTTGTCATTTATGGCCTATGTTACTTTGAGGTATGTTTCGTCTATTCCCACTTTGCTAAGAGTTTTTTTAATCATAAATGTGTTTTGGAATTTATCAAATATTTGTTATGCATCTATTTGATATAACCATGTGGTTTTTATCCTTCATTTTGTTTATGTGGTGTATCATGTTTATTGGTTTGTGGATATTGTACCAACCTTGCATCCCCGGGATAAATCCCACTTGTTCATGGTGCATAATCTTTTAATGCATTGGTGGATCTTATTTGCTAATATTTTGTTGAGGAGTTTAGTACTTATGTTTTTTAGGGATATTGGCCTATAATTTTCTTTCTTTGTAGTGTCTTTATCCAGTTTTGGGATTAGGATAATGCTGGCCTTGTAAAATGAGCTTGGGAGTCTTCCCTCCTCTTGAATTGTTTGGAATAGTTTAAGAAGGATAGGTGATAGTTCTTCATTGAATATTTGGTAAAATTAACCTGTGAAGCCATTCGGTCTAGGACTTTTGTTTGTTGGGAGGTTGTTGTTTTTTAATTACAGCTTTAATTTCATTAGTTATAATCTATTTGGATTTTCTGATTCTTCCTGATTCAGTTTTGGAAATTTGTACTTTTTTAGGAATTTACTCATTTCTTCCAGATTGTCCAATTTGCTGGCATATAGTTGTTTGTAGTATTTTCTTACCATCCTTTGTATTTCTTTGGTGTCAGTTGTTACTTCTCCTCTTTTTTTCTTTTTTCTTTTTCTTTTTTTTTTTTTTCTTTTTTTTTTTTTTTTTTACTTTTCTTTCGTTTCTGATTTGATTTATTTGTATCCTCTCTCTTTCTTCTTGATGAGTCTGGTTAAAGGTTTGTCAGTCTTATCATTTCAAAGAACCAGCTTTGGTTTCATTGATCTTTTGCACTGTATTCTTTTAGACTCTCTTTTATTTCTGTTTTTGATCTATATTATTTCTTTTTTTCTAATCACGTTGGGCTTTGTTTGTTGTTCTTTTTCTAGTAATTTTTTGTATAAAGTTAGATTGTTTATTTGAGTTTTTCTTTATTGATGTAGAACTGCAATGTTATGAATTTCCTTCTTAGTACTACTTTCACTGTGTCCCATAGATATTGGGTTGTTGTGTTCTCATTTTCATTTGTTTCGAGGTATCTTTTGATTTCTTCCTTGATCTCATTGTTAACCCATTCATTCTTTAGTAACATGTTATTTAGCCACCATGTCATTTTGTGTTTTTTCAGGTTTTTTTTCTTGTGATTAATTTCTAGTTTTATGCCATTATAGTCAGAGAAGATGCTTGATATGATTTCAACCTTCTTAAATTTATTGAGACTTGTTTTGTGTTCTAACATGTGGTCTATCCTAGAAAATGTTCCTTGTGCACTTGAAAAAAAATGTATATTCTGCTGCTTTGGGGTGAAATGCTCTGAAGATATCAATTAAATCCCTCTGATCTAGTATGTCATTTAAGGCTGCTGTTTCCTTGTTGATTTTCTGTCTGAATGATTTACCCATTGATGTCAATAGGGTGTTAAAATCCCCTACTATGACTGTATTACTGTCAATCTCTCCCTTTATTTCCATCAAGGCTTGCTTTATATACTTGGGTGCTCTTATGTTGGGTGCATAATGTTTACAAGGGTTATATCTTCTTGTTGGATTGTTCCCTTTGTCATTATGTAATGTTCTTCTTTGTCTCTTATTATAGCCTTTGGTTTGCTGTTGTTGTTGTTGTTTTCTCAGAGGGCCTGTTGCTCACCTCAAAGAAAGAGTGGCCACTGTGAGGCCAACCTGAGATCCTGAGAAGAGAGAAGAATCTTCTCTCTTTCCCCATTATGTATAGCCTTTGTTTTAAAGTCTATTTTATCTGATATAACCTGTGAAGCCATCTGGTCCAGGACTTTTGTTTGCTGGGAGTAGTTTTTTTATTACAGCTTTAATTTCATTAGTTGTAATCTAATATGTACTTATATAATGTAATATAAGTATTGCTCACCCAGCTTTTTTCTTCCCATTTTCATGAAATATATTTTTCCATCCATTTAATTTTTTAAAGTTTATTTTAATTTTTCATTTATTGATTTGAGAGAGAAACATCAATTTGTTGTTTCACTTATTTATGCATTCATTGGTATGCATTCTTATATGTGCCCTGACTGAGGATCAAACCTGCAACCTTGGCATATTGGGACAATGCTCTAACCAACTGAGCTATCTGGCCAGGTATCCTTTTACTTTTAGTCTGTGTGTACCTTTGTTCTTAGGTGGGTCTCTTGTAGACAATATATATATATATATATATATATATATATATATATATATATATATATATATTGTTTTCTTATCCATTCAGCTATCCTATGTCTTTTTTTAAGTCTTTTAAATAATGGATTTTTCTTAGGTCTGAAGTCATAGATATTCATTATATAATTAGTAGGTGTTTTATTCAAGGATTATATCCTCTGCTGTATACCCTATGTCTTTTGATTAGAACATATAAGCCATTTATATTTAAAGTAATTATTCATAGGTACATATTTATTGCCATTTTTTTCTTTTAACTGCATCCCACTGGGTGTGTGTTTTTCTTCTTCTTGAAGAAGAGCCATTAACGTTTCTCTTAATACTGTTTTGGTGATAATGGATGCCTTTAGCTTTTTCTTGTCCTGGGAATCTCTTTATTTCTTTTTAAATTTTAAATGGTAGCCTTGTTGGGTAAAGTAATCTTGGTTGTAGGTCCTTGCTTTTCATCACTTTGAATATTTCATGCCAATCCCTTCTGCTCTGAAATCTTTCTGTTGAGAAATCAGTTTACACTGTTATGGGAACTCACTTGTTGGCAACTAACTGTGTTTCTCTTGCTGATTTTAAGATTCTCTCTTTGTCTTTAACCGCTGCCATTTTAATGAAGTGTCTTGTTTGGGCTTCTTTGAGTTCATCTTGTTTGGGAATTTCTGTGCTTCCTAGACTTGTGTATCTTTTTCCTTTACCTGATTAGGAAAGTTTTCAGTGATTATTTTTTTCAAATAGTTTATCGATCCCTTGCTCTCTTTTTTCTCCTGGTACCCCTATATTGCAGATATTGTTATGCTTCATGTTGTCCCAAAGGTCCCTTAAACTAATTTTTTTCCTTTTTGCTGCTCTGATTGGGTGTTTTTTGATACCTTGTATTCCAAAATACTGATTCAATCTCTGCTTCATCCAATCTACTGTTTATTCCTTCTACTGTATTCTTCATTTCAGACTGGTTCTTTTTTATGGTTTCTATGAGCTTTTGCTATCTCTCTTTTTTATCTTAATTGTTGAAAGGATTACAGATGCCCTCGTTTTTTCCCCTATTGACCCCCCTCCTCTTCACTCACTCCCCTTCTCCTTCTCACTCCCTCCCCCTATATAGGCCTTCACCAAATTATTGTCTGAGTCCATGGTTTTGCATATATGCATATAAGATCTTTGGTTAATGCTCCCCTTTCCCCTCATCTCTCTGAGAATCCTCATCTATTGCACGCTTCCATGTCTCTGATCTATTTTGTTTGTCAGTTTATTTTGTTCATTAGATTCCACATATAAGTGAGATCATGTAATATTTGTCTTTCTCTGACCGGCTTATTTCAAGTACTATGCTAAGCGAAATAAGCTTACTGTCTCTTTGTTGAAGTTCTCACTAAGTTCCTTGAGCATTCTTATAACCATTTTTTAAACTCTATATGTGGTAAATTGCTTGCTTCCATTTCATTTAGTTCTTTTTCTGGAGATTTTCCTATGTTTCATTTGAGGCATGTTTCCTTGTCTCCCCATTTTTGCTGCCTCTGTGTTTGTTTCTATGTATTAGGTAGATCTGTTACACCTTCCAGTCTTGGTGGGGTGGCCTTATGTTGTAGGTATCCTGTGGGAGCCATTGGCATAGTCTCCTTTATCACCTGAGCTGGGTGCTCCAGGAATGTCTGTTATGTGAGCCCTCCTGTTGTCATTCAGTCTTGATTTCTATTGGCCTGTTCATGTGTGGGGTTGACCCTCCAGGTGGTTGATTGTGAGATTCAACCTGTACTTCAGTGTATGAGCTGCTGCAGGTGCTGACCACATGGATGAGAATTCACTTCATCAGGTTGTGTTGCCTCCCAAGACTTCCCTTTGGTTATACCAATTGTGAAGCTAATTGGATCCTGATTTTATGTGATCTGAAACTAGCCACTGGGTATATTGTTTCTAGAACCTTTGGGAAGAACTCTGCTTCAGGCCAATTTCAGACACTGCCTGTGACTGGCCCTTGGCAGCCTGTTTGAAGCTACATAGTGATACACAGTTTGTGGCTGCCTCTGCTGGGCCTGGGTGTGTGAAGAAAGGACCAATGTTGTGCACCAAGGCCAGCTTTTACCAGCATCAGGCCTGGGGGCAGGTCAGCAAAATTTCCAAGGTACCCCCAAATCCTCTTCCACCTGCCTCTATCTGTTGGCTTTCTGTTTGGCTCAGTCACTGAAAGAGCTTCTGGTGGTATTCAAGTTGCATGAGGTAGGCTCTCAGTGAGTCACCAGGTAGGGGTGAGTGGTGTTCATCAGACTGATACAGGTTCAAACATGGTGCCAGTGCTGGGTCTGAGGCCACTCAGCAAATGTCCCGGGGTATATTAAACCCAGTCGTCAAATGCTTGGTGCTTGCACACCTTTGTGGTGGTATGGAGTCTCAGGGAGTCGTCAGGGTGAGGCCAGCAGTTTACCAGGCCCAAAAAGACCAAGATTTGGCCATGTGAAGAGAGGACTCTGCACTGCTAGGGAGTGCAAAGGAGAAATGGTCCCTGTCCTTGAGGCACACAACTCAGTCTATCTCAATTCTGCCAGGAACCTGATCTCAGCAGGGGCCACTGGGAATCAGGAGGATAGTGCTAGTGGATCCCCCTAAGGGGGAGGTGTTGGTCAGCCTTTGGGGAAAGTGTAAGTGGCCCCCATCCAAGAGCCACGCAACTCAGTCTTTCCTGGATTCTGTTCTGACCTTGGCAGGGTGGAGTCACCAGGAGTTGGGAGTGTAGGGCTGCCAGTAGCACATCTTCTGTACAGGAGAGGTGCCAGTCAGGTTGATGGGTAAATGGGGGGGAATGACCCCTGCCCCAGAACCATTCACTTCAGTCATTGACACCTTCTGAGTCTGCCCAGACCTCTACATTCCAATCTAGGCAGCTGATTCCTCAGCAACGTGCAAGCTCCTCAGGGTGACACTACAGGGAGTCCAGAGGGTGGAGTTATTGCTTTTCCCAAGGCTAATGCCACATGGATGAGAGTGCTCCACCCAAGAAAGATGGCATCTGTGTTGTGGAAGAGTCACTCAGCACAGCGTTCCTGGCAACTGTTTCTTCTGCTCTTTCCCCAAAGCTATAAAACCCAGTCTCTACTCACACAACTCATTTGCTCCATTCCCCCTGCCCTGCCCCTCTGCTAGAGTCCAGAGATTTTGGCTTTTTAAGAGGGCGCCTGTGTTTCTAGAAGACAATCATCTCTCTCTGTCAGACAAAACACCCACTGATATTCCTTTTTTTAAATATGTTTTTATTGATTTGAGAGAGAGGGAGAAAGAGGGAGAAACATCCATGAGAGAGAAACATCGATTGGCTGCCTCCTGCATGCCCACTATTGGGGATTGAGCCCGCAACCTGGGCATGTGTCCTGACCAGGAATCAAACTGGTAACCTCTTGGTTCATGGGTTGACAAACTCAAGCACCAACCGGGATCCCTGCTGATTTTCACAGTCAGATGTTACATGGGTGCCTCTTCCCAGCTCTGGTGCTCTCAGTTAGGAAGCTCAGCATGCGGTTAAGTTTCCTCAGGGGTAATCTTGTGGCTGAAATATCTCTCTGGAATCTCAGCACACACACACACACACCTCTGCATGTGGCTGCTGGGCCAGCCCTTTTTCACATCTCCACTCTTCCTACCAGTCTCAATGTGGCTTCTTCTGTAAATCTTGGTTATAAGAATTCTCTTCAATTAGTCTTCAGTTGGTTATTCAATTTGATTGCTCTATATTTTAGTTGTAATTCTACTTTGGTTCTGGGAGGAGGTGAGTATAACATCCACCTACTACACCACTATGTTGGACCTGGACTTTGTAACATTTAGATATACAGTATGTGGTCCTTGATTTGTACTCTTGCCATGGATCCCAAAAATGTTAGGGGTGAGCCTGCTCCTATTCACCCATATCTCTTATGGCCTAAAAACATAAATGTCCCTGTCATAGTGTCCAATTTATTCCTGGCAAGTAGGTTTTTCTGAACATTCTAGTCTCATTCAGTGTAAATGTAGGTCTTCCAATCAACTGTCATGATATTTGCTTTGTAAGGCAGGGTTGAGGAGAGTGCTTTTGCACAGTAATGGGATTTGTTCCCATCACTATTTTGGAATAATTTTAACCCTATTTCTATCTATCAGAGGTGGTATAGGCTACTCCAGGGAATCTTCCTGATAGGGAAAATTTGCATATATTTTGCATTATTCCATAGATATCCACGTTTACCCTAGCAAAAGTAAAAACAAAACAAAACAAAAAGATGATCAAGGTACATGATTAGGATAAATCATAGGTGTGGAGGTGCAGCAATAGGGAAGTAAATATTCACATTTCTCCTCCTCCTTTCCATGCTTACTGCCACAGTTCCTCTGAGACCTGCTTTCAGAGGTATGGTTATAAGATGAGGGTTAAACATTCTTTCACCACGATATAGCAGTGGTTCTATACTTCATAATTAGGTTTATGTCCTTCATATTAAGTAAATTATTTTGTGGGATAAGTACTAGGTAGAAGTACAACTACACTAGAGATCTCTTGAACCAAAACTGGATGCCATTTATTTATTACCAGCCTGTGTCTA